AGTTGTTCAGACCAGACCCTTCATTACAGAGTTATGGCCCTTGATTAGTTATGTAGTATGAATATAGAGCAATATTGCTATTTCTTTGCAACTGCTGTATTGATTTCAACAAAACTGGCAACCATGGATACACATGGATACACATGGATACACAAAGGCGATTGACATCTCATTGACATGTCCATATATTACTATTAAACACAGAGTTATGGCTCTGTTATTGCCCTGAATATTTATCAAGTACTAAGAATTTACTGCTATGCCATGATAAATATATAGATAAAGCCGTATGTCTTCAGTTGTTGTGTTATTAATAACAGTACTTGGCGGGGGATATAAATTCAACGAATTTGCTTGATAATTAAGTGAGGTCTTACTGCGGAGATAACTCTGTTTTTTTTCAAAATTACCTAGTAGATTTTGAACACATGCTACAGGAATGATTGTTAGGTCATACTCTGCCTACATAAGTTATATAACTGGTCTCAGTAAAATACACAAGTAAAATACAGAAGCTTAAGTTAAAGTTTACAATTAAAATCCATACAGAGAAACGTGAATGCCTAAGAAAAACACATTCAACTTCTTTTGCATGAGGCTATAACTACAAAATTCCTAGCAGATTTACACACATTTTATGACTTATTAAGGGTAAGAAAGACCATCGAATTAAAGTCACAGATATTATCCATTAATTATGCCCCCACTTCGAAGAAGAGGGGGTATATTGCTTTGAACTTGTCGGTCCGTAGACCAAATGGTTTCCGAGGGATAACTAAAGAACCCTTAGGCCTAGGAACTTCAAACTTGGTATGGTGATTGGTCATGACCAGTAGATGACTCCTATTGATTTTGGGGTCAATGGGTCAAAGGTCAAGGTCACATTGACCTTGTAAACAAAAACGGTTTCCGATCAATAACTAAAGAACCCTTAGACCCAGGAACTTCAAACTTGGTATGGTGATTTGTCATGATCAGTAGATGACCCCTATTGATTTTGGGGTCAAGGGGTCAAAGGTCAAGGTCACATTGACCTCTTAGGTAAAACGGTTTCCGATCAATAACTTAAGAACCCTTAGGCCTAGGTTCTTCAAACTTGATATGGTGATTTGTCAGGACAAGCAGATAAACCCTTTTGATTTTGGGGTCAAGGGGTCAAAGGTCAAGGTCACATTGACCTTGTAGGTAAAAACGGTTTCCGATCAATAACTAAGGAACCCTTAGGCCTAGGAACTTCAAACTTTGTATGGTGATTGGCCATGATCAGTAGATGACCCCTATCGATTTTGGGGTCAAGGGGTCAAAGGTCAAGGTCACATTGACCTCTTAGGTAAAAACGGTTTCCGATCAATAACTAAAGAACCCTTAGGCCTAGGAATTTCAAACTTGATATAGTGATTGGTCATGACCAGCAGATGACCCCTATTGATTTTGGGGTCAAGGGGTCAATGGTCAAGGTCACATTGACCTTGTAGGTAAAAACGTTTTCCGATCAATAAGTAAACAACCCTTAGGCCTTGGAACTTCAAAATTGGTATGGTGATTGGTCATGACCAACAGATCACCCCTATTGATTTTGGGTCAAGGGGTCAAAGGTCAAGGTCACATTGACCTTGTAGGTAAAAACGTTTTACGATCAATAAGTAAACAACCCTTAGGCGTAGGGACTTCAAACTTGATATGGTGATTGGTCATGATCAGTAGATGACCCCTATTGATTTTAGGGTCAAGGGGTCAAAGGTCAATGCCTTACTGACCTCTTAGGTAAAAACGGTTTCCTATCATTAAGTAAAGAACCCTTAGGCCTAGGAACTTCAAACTTGGTATGGTGATTGGTCATGACCAGCAGATGACCCCTATTGATTTTGGGGTTAATGGGTCAAAGTTCAAGGTCACATTGACCTTGTAGGTAAAAACGGTTTCCGATCAATAAATGAACAACCCTTAGGCCTAGGAACTTCAAACTTTGTATGGTGATTGGTCATGACCAGCAGATGACCCCTATTGGTTTTGGGGTCAAAGGTCAAGGTCACATTGACCGTGTAGGTAAAAACGGTATCCGATCAATTAACTAAAAACGCTTAAGCATAGGAACTTCAAACTTTGTATTATGATTGGTCGTGACCAGCAGATGACCGCTATTGAATTTTGGGTCAATGGATCAAAGTTCAAGTTCACATTGACCTTTTAAGTAAAAACAGTTTCTGATAAATAACTAAAGAACCCTAAGGGCTAGGAACTTTAAACTTGGTATGGTGATTGGTCATGACCAGCAGATGACCCCTATTGATTTCGGGGTCAAAGGTCAAGGTCACATTCGACATTGTAAGTAAAAACAGTTTATGATCAATAACTAAAGAACGCTTCAGCCTAGGAACTTCAAACTTGGCATGGTGATTGGTCATGACCAGCAGATGACCCCTATTGATTTTGTGGTCAAAGGGTCAAAGGTCAAGGTCACATTGACCTTGTAGGTAAAAACGGTTTCCTTTCAATAACTAAAGAACGCTTAGGCCTAGAAACTTATAACTTGGTATGATGATTGGTCATGGCCAGCAGATGACCCCTATTGATTTTGGGGTCAGGGGGTCCAATGTCAAGGTCACATTGACCTTGTAGGTAAAAATGGTTTCCGATCAATAACTAAAGAATGCTTAGGCCTAGGAGCTTCAAACTTTGTATGATGATTGGTCATGACCAATAGATGACCCCTATTGATTTTGGGGTCAAGGGGTCAATGTCATATTGACCTTGTACTTAATGACGGTTTCTGACCAATAACTCAACAACTTAAGTTGCCTTGGTTGATATTTTTATATTAAAACAAAAATCCATTTGGTATACACATTTGAAGGTCTTATGTAATATAACAACTAGGTCGTCATTAATGATGCCTACATGATTCATAAAATTTATGCATATATTATTTGGTAAGATTTGTAATAACTTTAATTGCTTCACACAACCTATGGGGTCACAGTTTTTATTACCTTGTGACTAGTCATGACCAGTAGATACTAGATAACTGATAACCCTTATTAAGTCTTTGTTCACTGGGTCAGATGTCATGCATAATAACCTGATCACATGACTAATTGGCTGCCGATAGGGGGCATACATGTTTTACAAACATATCTTGTTTAATTATAACTGGATTATTTATAAAATGTTTATACTCCTTTTTCTCGAAAATGGCATATTTTTTGCTGTAAAATTTACCATTATAAGATATATACCCGTTTTGCATAAATTCGGATGCTATATTTGACGCCATTATGGATTACATTCCGTGGTAGGTTGGATAGATGTTACCGTTACGATATGCTTTTTAACTGCTTTCCGTTCTTGTGTAAAATATATTATATGGTATAAAAAATATTATATCCGTGTAGTTTCAAAACTAAATTTTTTGAACTTGATGAATAGAACGTTTAAAATATTCAGCATTAAACCTAGTATATAGTCATGTAATCTCTTTAAAACAGATAATAATATTTTCTATGACAAACTATTCATATAAAACTCCTAACTAGTTAAATCACTTAGAACTTAAAGTTCATCAAGCAATAGCTTTTAAGAATATCGAAATGATACATTTCTATTGCTTTATCAGTATTTGAAATACTTGAAAAGTTGATAATTGCTGACCAATCCACATTATTTGATTCTAAATGATGTCCTATTTATAAGATAATTTTTTAAATCAAACCTCTGAAGGGTCATATTGGTTTACGGATTTGATATAACTAAAACACAGGCAGTCGGTGCGTGGCTTGGATACTAGTATGTATTATACGTGTACATGACCACTCCCACATTTTGATAATTTAAATATCTTTATAATTCAAAATGTTTTTAAAACATCATATTTTTAGAAAAACACATAAAAGTTGTTGCTTTAACTTTATTCATAAAAACTGGTCAAGGTAAGACATCACATCATCATTGGCCACCTTTTTAGCTCACCTGTCACAAAGTGACAGGGTGAGCTTTTGTGATCGCTTTTCATCCGGCGTCCATCCGTCCGTAAACTTTTACTTTAAATGACATCTCCTCATAAACTACTAAGCCAATTTCATTCAAACTTCAAAGGAATTTTCTTTCCTTTGGTGGTCACCTTTAAAAATTGTTCAAAGAATTTAATTCCATGCAGAACGCCGGTTGCCATGGCAACCGAAAGAAAAAACTTTAAATATCTTCTTTTAAAAAACCCAAAGAGCTAGTGCTTAGATATTTGGCATGAAACATCTTCTAGTGAGTGTCTACCAAGTTTGTTCAAATAAAAGCCCTGGGGTCAAAATTGGCCCGTCCCAGGGGGTAATTGATTCTCCCTTTATGCATATAGTAAAAACTTAAAAAATCTTTTTTTAAAGAACCCAAAGAGCTAGAGCTAAGATATTTAGCATGAAACATCTTATGTGTGTCTACCAAGTTTGTTCAAATAAAAGCCCTGGGATCAAAATTGGCCCTGCCCCGTGGGTTATTGATTTTCCTTATATATGTAAAGCAAAAACTTAAAAATCTTCTTTGAAAAAACCCAAATAGCTAGTGTTTAGATATTAAGCATGAAACATCTTCTAGTAAGTGTCTACCAAGTTTGTTCAAAGCCCTGGGGTCAAAACTGGCCTGCCCCAGGGGTGTTATTGTTTTTAACTATATGTGTATAGTTAAAACTTAAGATATCTTGTTTTAAAAACCCAATGAGGTAGAGCTTAGATGTTTAGCATGAAACATTTTCTTATGGGTGTCTACCAAGTTTGTTCAAATAAAATCCTTTGGGTTAAAATTGGCCCTGCCAGGGGAGGGGGCAGAAGGGAAGGTCATTGTTTTTCATTATATATGTGTAATAAAAACTTAACATCATTAAACATCTTCTAATGGGTGTTTTTCAAGTTTGTTCAAATAAAAGCCCTGGGGTTTAAACTGGCCCTGCTCAGGGGGCCTATATACAGGTGAGCTACCTCAGGGCCATCATTGCCCTCTTGTTGTTTTATTTTCAGGGTTTGGCTCGCGTGATCAGTTGTGCTTTAACTCTGGTGAAGTGTGTGAAATATCAGCTGTTGATAAATGGACTGCCGTTTTCAAATTTGGCATGAGCTCCGGGATTACAAGAGGAGGCTTTAATTTATACGGAGGAGTAGTGCGTGAAAGTCTCAAAGGACACTTGAACAGTTTTGAATATTATCTAAAAAATCAAATAATGATTCTTCAACTTGGAGATACCCCTTTTGCGAAAAATGGAGATTCTGGTGCGTTAGTTTTCATAAAAGGAACACCTGATTTTGCTGCTATTGGCATTGTGGAAGGTGGTATGGGGTGTTATGTGTTTGTCACCCCAATTTGTGATATTTTAACAGCTGTTGGTTGTACGAAAATGTGCCAATTTACGCCAGGATGTAATGCAGTTTTGACTGATTCAGGTGATGAAATGGATGTTTCTTAATTGTTTAATTAGCAAACACGAAAAAAGAAAATGAATTAAAATTGTAATGAAATTTTGTGATTTCATAGTGTATTGAGTGATATGCCGTGCTCAAGTGGAGGTGGGTTAATAAAATTTGCCATTATTCATCTGTCCTCCAAAGTAATCTTGCTGTCGCATGTTATGTCACATTAAGCTTTAAAAGTGCTTGAGCTAGTATCAACAAACATTACTGCAATGTTGATCAGCATTTAAAGTTGTGCAACTGGGGTTACTCATGTGGAATATTTAACTTTTGTCAGAGTTATTGCTGCTTGACTAAGTAAATAATTTGCAATTGTCAATTTCTGCCCCGCGTAGCTCAAAATATAATTGACCTACAGTCTTGAAACTACATAGGAATATAAGTCAGCATAATATGTAAAAGTGCATCTGTGGATTTGCTTGTGGATTTATTCAGTGGGTTGGCGCAACACCCATATCCGGGGCATTAGCTTCTACATTGCGAGGCAGAATTTTTATATAACTTTGTAAAAATGTTCTCAATAGTGAGGCGGAGTGTAAAAATTGTTGTTCTTTTCTATATTGCTTTGCATGTGATGACAGGTCCATATCTTGATCGGTCAATAAACAGAACAGTTTCCCATCAAGCACTTAAACACAGGGAACTAAACAACTTGTTATTGGGATCATTTGATGAACCCAGTTGTTTTTAGGGTCACTTGGTCAATAGTCAAAGTCACAATGACAAACGTAAATGGCTAATTAGCTTAGCGGGCATACAGGTTTAACAAACATATTTTGTTTATATTTTAGAGATTCCTTCCTTCTTTGTTTGTTTTATGTTGTTAAGATTAAAAAAAGTTAAAGAAATTATAATTATGCAAAACAAAGTGTACAAGTTTATACTGTTAGTAGGTATTACCCAAATTGTGAAGTTAAAGGGACTTCACTGAGGTTTTAGGACATTGTATTCCTTATATTTTTATACATTTTTCTTTTTTAATTATTTATGTGTGAAATTTCAGATTATTTGCTCACTTTGTTTTTCCAAAATATTAATAATCATTTTAGCCAGACAAGTCAAAGAATAGCGAGAGCTAATATTACTTACCAAAGTGTCGCATTGGGGACACACTTTGGCTAAGTAACTACTGAGAAAATGAGTTGCCAAGCTTGTTCTCTTTGATTATCTTACATGATTACCACAAGACCCATAACCTGTGAAAAGGTGAGCTTTGAGATCTCAATTTGTCCTGTCGGCATCCGTCTGTACACTTTTACTTTAAATGATATCTCCTCATAAACCGCTTAGCCAATTTCATCCAAACTTTACAGGAATGTTCCTTTGGTGGTCACCTTTGAAAATTTTTATTCCATGCAGAACTCTGGTTGCCATGGCAACCATAAGAAAAAACATTAAAAATCATCCTTTAAAAAAGCCCAAAGAGCTTAAATATTTGGCATTAAAAAAACTTCTAGTGAGTGTCTTCCAAGTTTGTTCAAATGAAAGCACTGGGGTTAAAATTGGCCCAGCCCCAGTTGGTCATTGATTTTCCATATATATGTACACAACTTTAATGTTTTTACACATGTACTATTTCAGATACAAATTTTGTATCACTTTGTGATATTAGTTTAAGATTTTCATTTTATATCTGCTTTTCTATAGTTTAAAATATTAGAATATTAATTGTTTCTTGATATGGAGGGTTTTTATATTCAGGTGAACAATTTCAGGGCCATCATGGCCCTCTAGTTTGATATTTAAGACCATTTTGTCTTTGAAATTCTTGGTTAAGTTTTTGCATGTAAGCTGATAACTCCATAACTAGTGAGGGGTTGATTTTAACTTCATAAATCTATTTGAAAGTAATAGGAAGTCACTGTATTAACTTAAAGCATGAATGTTTGTTTGAATTATTGCCTATTTTGAAGTTAGAAAAGTCTTTATTATCCATCACTGTGGATAGTTGAGCACACTGTTCTATCAACAGCGTTGGTAGTTCAAAATGATAGAAAAGTACTTAAATGAGTGTGCCAAAAAATTACACTTAATCATATTATATTTATTATATTACTATATTATATTTTCAATTTTATTCGGAATATGTTTATAGCTTACCTGAGCACAAATTGCTCAAGATGAGTTTTTGCGATCACAATTTGTCCAGCGTCTGTCGTCAACTCTTTATTTATACAAACGGGATGTTCAATCATAAAGCTCTACTAAAATTGTTCAAGTGGTTCTGCGCAATTGAACATCAGAGTCAGGAGGGCTAAAAATAGATTTTCGAAATGAAAACATCATTTACTGAAACTCTGCAAAAGTTGTTCAAATAAAAACCCTGGGGTCAAAATTTGCCCCGCCATGGGGGTATTTGATTTTCATTATGTACCTATTGTAAAATCTTTAAGAATCTTCTCCTCTGAAATTGCATGACCTAGAGCTTAGATATTTTGTGTGTGGCATCATGTAATGAAACTCTACAACAATTGTTCAAATTATAGCCCTGGCGTCAAAATTTGTGTGTAACATCATCTAATGAGACTCACTCAAATTGTTCAAATTATAGCCCTTGGATCAAAACTGAAAATAATAAAAAAGCATAACTTCTGAATTTGCTTTGCCAAGAGCTTTGATATTTTGTGTGTGGCATCTTGTAATGAAACATTACAATTTTTTTTTCAAATTATAGCCCTGGGGTCAAAATTGGCCTTGACCCTGAGGTGGTCATTGATTTTCCTGATATGTATATTTATAGTTAAAACTTAAAGAATCCTATCCTGTGAAAGTGCAAGGCCTAGAGCTTCAATAGTGTGTGTGTGTGGCATCAAGTGATGAAACTCTACAAAAATTGTTCAAATTAAAGCCCTGGGTTCAAAATTTGCCTTGCCGCGGGGGTCTTTGATTTTCATTATTTACATATAGTTAAAACTTAAGTGCAAGGCCTAGAGCTTCAATATTGTGTGTGTGGCATCATGTAATGAAACTCTATAAAATTGTTCAAATTATACCAATAGGGTCAAACATAGGCCTTGCCTCAGGGGGTTCATTGATTTTCCTGATACGTATAATAGTAAAAACTTAAAATCTACTTGTCAAAGACCAGAAGGTGTACGGCCTTGATATGTGTTATGTAACATAATCTAGTGGTCTTCTACAAAAAATGTTCAAATAATAGCCCTCTGGTCAAAATAGGCCTCGCCTCAGGGGGTCATTGATTTTCCGGATTTGTATATACAGTAAACTTAACTTATAGCGAGTACTTCCAGTTATAAGGAAAATTTTTTTGCCTGCATTTTTTACCTTCTGCTTATTTAACATAAACATATACGATTATTGCGAGCACGGTTATAAGGAATAATCGCTTATAAGGAATTCATTTCTCAGTCCCAATTTAGATAAAAGAAGAGAAAATTACACTTTTGTTACAAACTCAAAAATATCAGTAAATAAATCCTGCATATTCAACTTTTGTTTTCATTGGAAACGGATTAAAACTTGACCGAATGTACCGTTTATTGTTGTATGTACTTCAATACAACTATGAATATGAATTTTTGTAGCAATACATAATACAAAAAGTTTTCTATTTAGGATATTTTTAGCACGGGTTCTTGTCACCAATAAAAAGGTAATTCCTTTTATTTGCTTACCAGAGTCGAAGGCTCAGGGTGAGCTATTAGTATCAAAGGGGGATGCTCCAGTGTCCGTCGTCCGTTATCATGTGTCAACAATCGTCTTCTTCTCTGAAACTACTAAGCAGAAATACATCAAATTTAGTCTGTAGCATCCTTGTGGCAGTCACACTTGAATTTGCTCATGTCATTCAAATTGGCCGCTTTTAGGGGCCGCTGAAGCTAAAAATAGAAAAAAATAAACGTCTATTTCTACAGAACTAATTGATGGATGATCACCAAACTTTGTCTTTAGCATTTTTAGGTAGTCTTTAATCAAGTTTGCTAATATTATTTTGATTGGCCCCTTTTAGTTGTCTCTAGGGCTAAAATAGAAAAACCTTTAAACAATCAGTTCGTTATATGTAAATCTGCTGGCTATTAAAACTCCTTATACAAGGAACTAATTCGCATTATGCTTTCAAGGAACTCCGCATATAAGGAACAAATTTTGAATGTCCCAAAATCTGCTTGTCAAAAAATAGAAGATGTAGAGCCAATATTTGGTATGTAACATGATCTAGTGGTGCTCCATAAAGAGTGTTCAAATTATTACCCCAGGGTCAAAAGGCGCCCCGGGAAGGGGCTCATCAGTTTTTAGCTCACCTGTCACAAAGTGACAAGGTGAGCTTTTGTGATCGTTTTTCGTCCGGCGCCCTTCTGTCCGTAAACTTTTACTTTAAATGACATCTCCTCATAAACCACTAAGCCAATTTCATCCAAACTTCACAGGAATGTTCCTTTGGTGGTCACCTTTAAAAATTGTTCAAAGAATTTAATTCCATGCAGAACTCTGGTTGCCATGGCAACCGAAAGAAAAAAAAATATCTTCTTTTAAAAAACCCTAAGAACTATAGCTTAGATATTTGGCATGAAACATCTTCTAGTGAGTGTCTACCAAGTTTGTTCAAATTAAATCCCTGGGGTCAAAATTGGCCCCGCCCCGGGGGGTCATTGTTTTTCCCTATATGCATAAAGTAAAAACTGAAAAAATCTTCTTTTAAAGAACCCAAAGAGCTAGAGCTAAGATATTGAGCATGAAACATTTTCTAATGGGTGTCTACCAAGTTTGTTCAAATAAAAGCCCTAGGGTCAAAATTGGCCCCGCCCCGGGGGTCATTGATTTTCCCTATATGCATATAGTAAAAACTTAAAAAATCTTCTTTTAAAGAACCCAAAGAGCTAGAGCTAAGATATTCAGCATGAAACATGTTCTAATGAGTGTCTACCAAGTTTGTTCAAATAAAAGCCCATGGGTCAAAATTGACCCCGCCCCAGGGGGTCATTGATTTTCCCTATATGCATATAGTAAAATCTTAAAAAATCTTCTTGCAAAGAACTCAAAGAGCCAGAGCTAAGATATTTAGCATGAAACATGTTCTAATGGGTGTCTACCAAGTTTGTTTAAATTAAAGCCCTGGGGCCAAAATTAGCCCCGCCCCGGGGGTCATTGATTTTCCTTATATGATTATAGCAAAACTTTAAAAAAAGCTTCTTTGAAAAAACCCAAATAGCTAGAGTTTTGATATGAGGCATGAAACATCTTCTAGTGAGTGTCTACAAAGTTTGTTCAAATAAAAGCCCTGGGGTCAAATTGGCCCCGCCCTGGGGGTCATTGATTTTCCCTATTTGCATATAGTAAAAATTTAAAAAATCTTCTTTGAAAAAACCAAATAGCTAGATTTTAGATATTAAGCATGAAACATCTTCTAGTAAGTGTCTACAAAGTTTGTTCGAATAAAAGCCCTGGGGTCAAAACTGGCCCCGCCCCAGGGGTGTCATTGTTTTTAACTGTATGTGTATAGTAAAAACTTAAAAATCTTCTTTTAAAAAACCCAATGAGCTTGAGCTTAGATGATTAGCATGAAATATCTTCTTATTGATGTGTACCAAGTTTGTTCAAATAACAGCCCTCGGGTGAAAATTGGCCCTGCCAGGGGAGGGGGAGGAGAGATCATTGTTTTTCATTATATGTGTGTAGTAAAAACTTAACATTGTGAAATAAAAACTTAACATTGTGAAACATCTTCTAATGAGTGTCTTCCAAGTTTGTTCAAATAAAAGCCCTGGGATTTAAACTGGCCCCGCTCCCGGGCCCTATATACAGGTGAGCGACCTCAGGGCCATCATAGCCCTCTTGTAAAAAAAGTGATATAGAGAAATCTTTTAAAATCTCCTTGTCAAAATCCATAAGGCATAGAGCCTTGCTATTTGGTATGTAACATGATGAAGTGGTCCTCTCTAAAGATTATTTGCAATTATGTCCCTGGGATGAAAAGGGGCCCTGCCAAGGGGCTTATCGCTTTAAACTCACCTGTCACAGGTGAGCTTTTGTGCAACCGTATTGTTTGTTGTCTGTCCGTGCGTTAACTTTTTCATTCCATTTACTACTTCTCAAAAACTGCCTATCAAAATTGAATGAAACTTGGCAGACATGTTCCTTGCATGAAGCAATAGTATAGTTGTACAAGGAACTGAATTCCAGCCTATTTTTTTCTAAATCTTTAAACAAATGTTTTTGTCAAAATCCACAAGGAGTAGAGCTTTGGTATTTGGTGTGTAACTTCATTAAGTGGTACTCAAGAAAGAACAGGCATATACCCATGCCTCAGGTGAGCGACCCGGGACCCAACGGTCCTATTGTTTTAGTATCTTTTTTTATCGAGTACCTAAATTGATCTGTTTTGGATTTTCTATTTTTACTCTTTAATGCTCTTTGACCTGAGTGGAGCTCCTTTAAGTGAACTTTAAATGATTATTATTTTAAGATTACATAGATAAACCAAAGGAAAGTATAAACATGCTTAACTGTAAATTAAGATGTGTTAGTATATACTGTTAGTCATACACTGTATAATAATACCAGTTTCCGGCTGTCCTTCGGGATATGTATCAGTTCTTGGCTGCTCCACCGGGTTATACACCAGTTTTCGGCTGCTCCTTGAGGGAAATATTCCAGTTCTCAGTGGCCACAAAGGGATAAACATGTAAACCAGTCCTTGTCTGCTCCTCAAAGATAATTATATACATATACAGCTATAACGAGATCGGTGTTAACTTGGGTATCTCTTACAGTGTACATATATTCAGCGTCACATACATATTTTTCCGAATTTTAACGGGGTAACTCCATTGGCACGTCGTTTGTGTCAGTTTGTCTTATTGAGAACACAATGGTCAATTAAGTGAGCAATTATTGACCAATAAGCGATCAAATGTGGCAGCCTTCTTTTGTCAGCACTTCAGCCTCAATTGTTCTCTAGGTGATGAAATATTATAACATAACACATGTAAATGATTAATTATTATGCCCCCACTTCAAAGAAGAGGGGGTATATTGCTTTGCACTTGTCGGTCCGCCGGTCGTAGACCATATGGTTTCCGAGTGATAACTAAAGAACGCTTAGGCCTAGGAACTTTAAACTTTGAATGGTGATTGGTCATGACAAGCAGGTGACCCCTATTGATTTTTGGGTCAGGGGGTCAAAGGTCAAGGTCACATTGGCCTTGTAGGTAAAAACAGTTTCCGAATGCTTAGGCCTAGGAACATCAAACTTGATATGATGATTGGTCATGACCAGCAGATGACCCCTATTGATTCTGGGGTCAAGGGGTCAAAGGTCAAGGTCACATTGACCCTGTAGGTAAAAATGGTTTCCGATCAATAACTTAAGAATGCTTAGGCCTAGGAACTTCAAACGTGATATGGTGATTGGACATGACCAGCAGATGACCCCTATTGATTTTGGGGTCAAGGGGTCAAAGGTCAAGGTCACATTGACCTTGTAGGTAAAAACGGTTTCCGATTAATAACTAAAGAACGCTTAGGCCTATGAACTTCAAACTTGGTATGATGATTGGTCATGACAAGCAGATGACCCCTATTGATTTAGGGGTAAAATGTCAGGGTCACATTGACCGTGTAGGTGAAAACAGTTTCCAATCAATAACTTAAAAACGCTTAGGCCTAGAAACTTCAAACTTGGTATGATGATTGGTCATGACCAGTATATGACCCCTATTAATTTTGGGGTCAATGGGTCAATGTCATATTGACCTTGTACTTAATGATGGTTTGTGACCAATAACTTAACAACTCCAGTTGCCTTGGTTGATATTTTATATTAAACTAAAAATGCTTTTGGTATACACATTTGAATGTCTTATGTAATATAACAACTTGGCTGTCATTAATGAGGCCTACATGATTCATAAAATGTATGCATATATTATTTGTAAGATTTGTAATAACCTAAATTGCTGCACACAACGTATGGGGTCACAATACTTATTACCTTGTGACTAGTCATGACCTGTAGAGACTACATAACCCTTATTAATTGTTTGTTCACTGGGTCCGAAGTCATGCATAATAACCTGATCATATGACTAATTGGCTGCCGATAGGGGGCATACATGTTTTACAAACATATCTTGTTACACATGACATCGCTTATTATCCCCGCAGATGGAATCGGGAGGGGGATATTGTTTTGGCGTTGTACATCCTTCCGTCTGTCTGAATTTAGTTTTGCACTAGTTCTTTGCAACTGCTGGCTGGAATTAAATGAAACTTTATGGGAATCATCAATATCAAGAGGAGATGGGCATATCATCGGCTTGTTCCAGTTGGAACTTTTACTCTGAGTTATGGTCATTAATTAGTTATGCATTATGCATATAGAGTAAAAATCGTTTTTGCCCTACTTCTCAGCAAATGCTTGCTGGAATTCAAGAAAACATTATGGGAACTTTTAATACCAAGAGGAGATTTTCAATCGTCGGCTTGTTCTGGTCAGACACTTAAATTCAGAGTTTTTGCCCTTGATTTGTTATGCAGTATACATATAGAGTAAAAATCGTTTCCGCACTACTTCTCTGCAACTACTGGCTGGAATTCAACGAAACTTCATAAGAACCTTCAATACCAAGAGGAGATGCGAATATTGTCCCATTGTTCCGGTCAGACACTTAAACTCAGAGTTATGGCCCTTGATTAATAATGCAGTATGCATATAGAAAAATAATCATTTCCGCATTACTTCTCTCCAACTACTGGCTGGAATTCAACAAAACTTTATGGGAACCTTCTATACCAAGAGGAGATGCGCATATCGTCGCCTTGTTCTGGTCAGACACGTTAACTCAGAGTTATGACCCTTGATTAATTTTGCCTTATGCATATAGAGCAATAATAATTTCCGCGCTACTTCTCTGCAATTACTGGCTGGAATTTAACAAAACTTTATGGGAACCTTCAATACGAAGGAGATGCGCATATTGCTGCCTTGTTCCGGTCAGCGATTAAATCAGAGTTATGGCCCTTGGTTAGTTATGCAGTATACATATAGAGCAGAAATCGTTTCCTCGCTACTTCTCTACAACTACTTGCTGCAATTCAATTAAACTTTATGGGAACCATTTATACCAAGATGAGATGTGCATAATAGATCCTTCATTACAGAGTATTGGCCCTTGATTAGTTATGTCACTTTTTAAATAAGGAATCTTAATGCCTTTTTTTAGCTCACCAGAGCCAAAGGCTCAGGTGAGCTATAGTATCAAAGGGGGATACTCTGTCGTCTGTCGTCATGCGTCAACAATCTTCTTCTCTGAAACTGCTGGGCAGATTTACTTCAACTTTGGTCTGTAGCATCCTTGTGATAGTAACACTTGAATTTGCTCATGTCATTTCAATTGGCCCCTTTTAGGGGTCAACAGAGCTAAAATAGAAAAACATTTAAACATCGTCTACTATAGAACTAATTGATGGATGATCACCAAACTTTGTCTGTATCCTTCTTTGGTAGTCTTTTATCACGTTTGCCCATATTAATTCGATTGGCCCCTTTCAGGTGCCGCTAAAGCTAAAAATAGAAATACCTTTAAACATCTATATCTAGAGAACTAATTGATAAATGATCACCAAATTTTGTCTGTATCATTCTTAGGTAGCCTTTTATCAAATTTGCTCATATCAATTTGATTGGCTCCTTTCAGAGGTCTCTAAGGGCTAAAAATAGAAAAACTTCAACCCTCTTCTTCTACAGAACTTGTGGATGGATGATCTCCAACTTTTGTCTGTAACATTCTTGGGTAGCATTTTATCAAGTTTGCTCATATTAATTTGATTGGCCCCTTTTAGGGGCCGCTAAATCTAAAAATAGAAATACCTTTAAACATCTATATCTAGAGAACTTATTGATGGATGATCACCAAACTTTGTCTGTAGCATTCTAAGATAGTCTTTTTTTATCAAATTTGCTGATATTAATTTGATTGGCCCCTTTTAGCTGTCTCTTGGAATTAAAAATAGAAAACCCTTTAAACGTCTTCTTCTACAGAAATAATTGATGGATGATCACCAAACTCTGTCTGTAGCATTCTTGGATAGTCTTATATCAAGTTTGCTCAAATTATTGTGATTGGCCCCTTTTAGGGGCAGCTGAAGCTAAAAATAGAAATACCTTTAAACGTCTATTTCTACAGAACTAATTGATGGATGATCACTTAACTTTGTCTGTAATATTTTGGGTAGTCTTTTATCAAGTTTGCTCATATTAATTTGATTGGCCCCTTTTAAGTGCTTAAGCTAAAAATAGAAATACCGTTAAATTTCTTTTACACAGAACTAATTGACGGATTACCACCAAACTTTGTAGCACTCTTAGCTACGCTTTTAACAAATTTGCTCATATTAATTTGACTGGCCCCTTTTAGGGACCACTAAAGCCAAAAATAGAAAAAAAACCTTTGAAAATCATTTCCTATTGAAATAATTGATAGATGATCACCAAACTTTGTAGCATTATTAGGTAGTCTTTTATCAAGTTTGCTCATATTAATTTGATTGGCTCAAATTTAATATCAGAAAATATTGACAATGGATAATATCCAACACTGAAAAGCAGTTGTTTCTGGTGAGCGACTCAGGGCCATCATGACCCTCTTGTATAATGCATACATGTACCTTCATCCTATTTTTGATTATTGTTGTAATATATGGGGGAAAGAAAACAAAAAAATGTATATGCCAAATATACAAAATACAAACCCCAGTTTAATGCAAAATTGTTCTAGACCTTACAATGAGAAAACGATCAGAGAATTTTTACAAAAGATTAAAAATGTTGCCTTTCAAAAAAAGATTTATTTTTCACATCGGTGTCCAAGTATATAAAGCACTGAATAATATATCCCCTCAATATGTCCGAGACTTACTTACCATATCAAATAATCAAAAGTATAATCTCAGATCGATATCTCATCGTCTTACAAACCACGTAGTAATTATTTTAATGACACACTCCAATTTAATCCCATGGTTATTTGGAATTCCATACCGCTTACTATAAGAAGAAAAACAAAATTGTCAATATTTAAGAATAGTTTAAAGAAATACTTATTTAATCAACTTTAGCACGGTCCGTGTGTATTATATATACAAGATACGCTCTTTATATTCATACATGTGTTTTTTATTATTATGTTTTCAAATAATGGGTGTCTGTCTTAGTTTTAAGTTTTTGATTGTGTTAATTTTGTAAATAAGTTTTACTTTTTTAAATTGCAGATTAAAATGATGCTATATGGAAAGTATTATGTTTAATGATAAATAAAATGAATTGTATGAATGTTCAGTATACATGTATGTGTTAAGATATATGTTAAAATTGTGATAAACCATTTAATAATTTCTTTTACATGTTATATTTTCTTTGACTGATATGTGTTATTTTGTGTGTGCGTTTTTATTTTTTTAGCTCGACTATTCGAAGAATATGAGAGCTATTGTAGTCGCCCCGGCGTCGACGTCAGCGTCCGTGTCGGCGTCTGCGTTGGTTAAAGTCTTTTGTAAATTCAAATATCTCAATTATTGAATATTCAATTGAAACTTACAATACTTACTTATAGCATCAATATACATCAGATTGACAAGTAAGATAACTCTGCCTACAATATTTTCAGAATTATGCCCCTTTTTACCTTAGAAATTTTGGTTAAAGTTTTTTTGTAAAGTCAAATATCTCAATTATTGCTTGAGATATTCAATTGAAACTTACAGTACTTATTTATAATAACAATGTACATCAGGTTAACAAGCAGGATTACTCTGCCTATAATATTTTCAGAATTATGCCCCTTTATAACTTAGAAATTTTGGTTAAAGTTTTTTTGTAAAGTCAAATATCTTAATTATTGCTTGAGATATCCAATTGAAATTTAAAATACTTTTTATAGTAACAATGTACATCAGTTTGCAAAATTGCATAACTCTGTCTGCAATATTTGCAGAATTATTTGCCCCTTTGAAACTTAGAAATTTTGGTTAAAGGTTAAAGGTCTTCAAGGATATTTACTTGAAACTTTACACATGTACTAAGGGTCATAATTGGGGAGTCATAATGGTATGTCACCGACCAAGTTCCATAACTCTACTCGCATTTAGGCTGATTCATCTCCCCTGTTCTACTTAGTCTCTTGGTTAATGTTTACATGAAAGTTTTTCATATCTCAATAACTATTAAAGATAATTATTTTAAACTTCACATATGCATTTAGAATCATAATTGCAGGTCCATAATTCTATCTTGCATTTAGGCTGATTTTTCTCCCCTTTTTTCAACTTAGAAATTCATGGTAAAGCTTTGTTTGTAAGCTGTTATCTCCATAACTACTGAAGAGTTTGTTCCTTTTTGGGTCATGTTTATGCATTCATAATCATAAAGCAGTGTTTTACTTGATAAAACATCTTAATAACAAGCCTTTGTACCTTTTCGGTCAATTTTATGTATTCATAGGTAATAAGCATTATTATACTCAATAAAACACCCTTGTGACAACTTTTTGAATAGTCGAGCCAATACTGACCTCCGACAGATCTTGTTTATTTTAGAAGGCTGCATTGTAAATAAGATGTTGCAATCTGTATATATCTTAATGTGTTACCTTTGATAAATAAAGTTATTATTATTATTATTATTAGCTCGATTATTCGAAGAATATGAGAGCTATTGTAGTTGTCCCGGCGTCTGTGTCTGCGTTGGTTAAAGTTTTTTTGTAAATTCAAATATCTCAATAATTGCTTGAGATACTCAATTGAAACTTACAATACTTATTTATAGTAACAATGTACATTAGAGTGACAAGTTGGATAACTCTGCCTACAATATTGACAGAAATATGCCCCGTTTTAACTTAGAAATTTTGGTTAAAGTTTTTTGTAAAGTCAAATATCTCAATTATTGCTTGAGATATTCAATTGAAACTTACAATACTTATATATAGTAACAATGTACATCAGATTGACAAGTCGGATAACTCTGCCTACAATATTGACAGAAATATGCCCCTTTTTAACTTAGAGATTTTGGTATGAACACATGCATCAAACATGTTTGTTTGTTATTTATTCAAGTATATTTGTAAACATACAATTAACATGTACACGATGACAGAACTTTATTGTCCAAATTTATACTTAAAAAAATCTATATGAAGTTAGGATAAGTTAATGCTACAATATGTTATGTCAATTGTTCAATATATATTTAACATGAATGTTTAAAACTTTAGACATTGAACAGTATCTAGTAGACATTATTCTGCTATCATAAATAAAAACTTGTATGACAACACACTTATTGATTTTGAAACTTGCACAATTTTATTCACTTTATTTGAAATGTTACTTGTTTAACTTAAATAAGTCGGTTTTATAGGAAGATTTGGAAGTTAATAAATAAGTTAAGATTTAGACATTGGTTGACTAACACTTTGTCTAATAAAAAGGTTAAAAGTTAAAATCATCGGAATTGACACAATTCTATTCACTTTGTATGGAAATTTGTTTGTTTTTTTGTGAAATGAGTTTGTTTAATTTAAGAATAGGAAGTTTATAAGTTACTTTAGATTTCTATCATTGATTGGCTAATATACTGTTTAAATGCATGTCTTTAACACTATATATTGTTTAGGTTAAACAGATTAAATTTTATCAGAACGGAAACAATAGATCAATGGTGACATGTATATCAGTATAGAGAGATGTTTATAAAATGTAGGCAATATATAACATTTAGATCTGGTCATAGAACCTTTATGAGAACATTGTTATTCTACTGGTTTTGTTATAAATGTAATACTTTAAGAGATTAAAATATATTTGTTTGATAGGTAAGCATATATGTGTGACTTTCATAATAAAAAAATGTACAGAATTGATTAGTGTATTATTTGTTGTCCCCTCTCTTACAGAACTAGTTGAGGGTATAAAACTTGTTGAAAATTTACTTCCCACTATTTTTAGCTCACCTGTCACAAAGTGACAAGGTAAGCTTTTGTGATCACAATTCGTCTGGCGTCCGTTCGTAAATTTTTATTTTAAACAAAATCTCATAAACCGCTAAGCCAATTTCATCCAAAGTTCACAGGAATCTTCCTTTGGTGTCACCTTTAAAAATTGTTCAGAGACTTTAATTCCATGCAGGATTCTGGTTGTCATGGCAACTAAACGAAACAAACTTAGAAATATTCTTTTAAAGAATCCAAAGAGCTAGAGCTCAGATATTAAGCATGAAACATTTTCTAGTGAGTGTCTATCAAGTCTGTTCAAATAAAATTCCTTGGGAAAAAATTGGCAGGCCTCGTGGGGATCATTTGATTTTCCTTATATGTATATAGTAAAACCTTAAAAAGGTCTTCTTAAAAAAAAGCTCCAAGGTCCTAGAGCTCCTAGATTTT